CCTAATGAATTTATTTAAATTGATTGATTTCCTTATATGAACTGTAACTCAGTAAAATCTTAGAAATTGTTGCATGTTTTGTTTATATTTTTGTGCAGTGTATATACTGTACATCTGTAGTTCTTTCAACATGATGGCAAATTCAACACTCTGATTGGTGTGTGCCCACACCCACATCAATTCTAGTGCCGTGACTGACTAAAGAGTGTAAACAGGATAACTTCGGTCATGAAATCAGTATCTTCCTAAACAGAGATTTGTGAGATTTAGGAAATTAATGGCATTGCTAAATCTTTGGATATTTGATGGTTGGGTTTTGATTTCAATCATGCCCACTTGCCAACTAACACGGGATGGTAACGTCTAGGGAAAATTGACATGCAATAAGGAAAGGGTGAATGGAGCAGTCCTTCATATGAATGAATGGAATTCTACAGTATTTCAATAAAATGTTTCAAGGACAAAATTACATTCGTTTTTATTTGTTGTAGTGAGTAACATCACTACTCTCAAAAAATTATACTTGAAGGAAAATGAAAAGCAAGGGGGAGGCCAATAATATCACAACAGACCATCAGACCAATTCCTTGAATGCCCTACTCCTTGAAGTTTGCAGTTGTGTCTAAAAAACCCAATTTTGCTCAAAACGGACCGAGTAATAACCAGCAGGCTGTACGACACAGTCCCACTGAAGAACTGAACATATTTGGTTAGTATAAATACCTTACATTAAATGTTTCAAATGATTTTGAAATGTGGATCCGGGATCACAATGTCACACATTGGCCCCATTATTTATAGAAAGACCCTATTGCATTGAGGTCAATGAAAGGGGTGGAGTAGAAAGTGCTGTTGGGTATTTTGACCTCAGTCCCCCATGAAATGACACCATTTATAGATTCTACAGACCCTACTGAGCACTCCCAACCCCACTTTTACATCTGCACAAATAATCGTTTTTCACTATAAGCCAATACGTAATTAATGTACAGTGTTGCATTGAGGACAATGGAGGGGGTGGAGTAAGGAGTCACCAGCACTGTATTAAACCAGTTGCCCAGCACAAGAAACCAATTTAAGTTTTACAGACTCTTGAGTAATTCCAATAACATATTTGTATTTATTACAAATGTATTTATTTAAATATAGCCTACACCATATCTTTCAACATACCAGTATTGTCACCAGTATTGTCCCGGATATCCTGCGCCAGTGCCACGTGCTGTAGCGCCAGTACGAGTGCACAGCCCAGTACGTCCTGTGCTGATGCCTCACGCATATCGTGTGGAGATAGGCATTCAGCCAGGACGGGTTGTGTCAGCTCTCTGCTCCAGACCTCTGGCTCCACACCGGAGCCAGAGCAATCCGCTCCACCGGTGTCCAGTCCAGCTCCAGCCAGCGGGGCCAGACCAGACCAGGGGCGCTACGGGGGGTAGAGAGAGAGTGGTGGTCACGCCCGGAGCCGGATCCGCCTCCGAGGCGGAATGCCCACCCGGCCCCTACCCCGTTGTGTTGGTGTGGCGCGGTCGCAGTACGCGCCTTTGGGGGGGGGGGTACTGTCACGCCCTGGCTCGGGGGACTCTTAAATGTTGAGCCAGGGTGTGGAGTTTCTGTTACATTTTCTATGCTTTTGTTCTAGATCGTTTATATCTATGTTGGCCAGGGTGGTTCCCAATCAGAGACAGCTGTAGCTCGTTGTCTCTGATTGGGGACCATACTTAGGCAGCCTTTTGGCATGTTAGGTTGTGGGATCTTGTTCCATTTGGTTTGGTGTGTATAACCTAGGACTTCACGTATCGTTTGGTTTATTGTTTTGGTTCGTGTTGTGTACGCATTAAAGAATGTACGCTTATCACGCTGCGCCTTGGTCCGCTTCATCTGTCGACGATCGTGACAGAGTAGGAGCACACTTAAAGGGAGTGCTCCTTATCTCCGTTTGTTAACTGTATAAAAGACACCTGTCCACAGAAGCAATCAATCAATCAGATTACAAACTCTCCACCATGGCCAGGACCAAAGAGCTCTCCAAGGATGTCAGGGACAAGATTGTAGACCTACACAAGGCTGGAATGGGCTACAAGACCATCGCCAAGCAGCTTGGTGAGAAGGTGACAACAGTTGGTGCGATTATTCGCAAATGGAAGAAACACAAAATAACTGTCAATCTCCCTCGGCCTGGGGCTCCATGCAAGATCTCACCTCGTGGAGTTGCAATGATCATGAGAACAGTGAGGAATCAGCCCAGAACTACACGGGAGGATCTTGTCAATGATCTCAAGGCAGCTGGGACCATAGTCACCAAGAAAACAATTGGTAACACACTACGCCGTGAAGGACTGAAATCCTGCAACACCCGCAAGGTCCCCCTGCTCAAGAAAGCACATATACAGGGCCGTCTGAAGTTTGCCAATGAACATCTGAATGATTCAGAGGAGAACTGGGTGAAAGTGTTGTGGTCAAATGAGACCAAAATGGAGCTCTTTGGCATCTACTCAACTCGCCGTGTTTGAAGGAGGAGGAATGCTGCCTATGACCCCAAGAACACCATCCCCACCGTCAAACATGGAGGTGGAAACATTATGCTTTTGGGGTGTTTTCTGCTAAGGGGACATGACAATGACCCAAAACACACGGCCAAGGCAACAAAGGAGTGGCTCAAGAAGAAGCACATTAAGGTCCTGGAGTGGCCTAGCCAGTCTCCAGACCTTAATCCCATAGAAAATATGTGGAGGGAGCTGAAGGTTTGAGTTGCCAAACGTCAGCCTCGAAACATTAATGACTTGGAGAAGATCTGCAAAGAGGAGTGGGACAAAATCCCTCCTGAGATGTGTGCAAACCTGGTCGCCAACTACAAGAAACGTCTGACCTCTGTGATTGCCAACAAGGGTTTTGCCACCAAGTACTAAATCATGTTTTGCAGAGGGGTCAAATACGTATTTCCCTCATTAAAATGCAAATCAATTTATAGCATTTTTGACATGCATTTTTCTGGATGTTTTTGTTGTTATTCTGTCTGTCACTGTTCAAATAAACCTACCATTAAAATTATAGACTGATCATGTCTTTGTCAGTGGGCAAACGTACACAATCAGCAGGGGATCAAAAACTTTTTTCCCTCACTGTAGGTACATCAAATCATCCTTTTTTTTAAGGGGGTTGCAATGCTGTGAAAAAACAATTGTATTTCACAATCGACAACATTTTTTTGATATTCCCAGCATGTCTATGCAGGGGGCTCTTACTTTGAAAAAAATACATCTGGGATCATGCTGCCAGCATAATATCCTGCTGCTTGGAGGGGGTAAACTTTTATGGTGAAGTACCTAGAGGTTTCTGAGGGATCTTAGAGGTGACTCTTCATTCCCTTCAATTATTACCCATATTGATCTCGTTATTACATTTTGATCAGCACTTGTCAATATTTGCAGCAGCTGATAGCCTATTGTGCCTTGAGTTGATACGTTAGACTACTGTCGCACTGTTGTACCAATAATGTAATGATAAAACAAATAAAATGTAGGCCTAAACCAGGTTTCAGTTTCAAGTTTTATTAGTCATATGTATGGTAAACACTGTCCAATGAAATGCCTACTGGCAAGTTCCTTCTCGACAATGCAACAACAATAAGAAATAATACAATATAATAATAGAATAGACATTTTAGCACAAGTTATAGTGCAATATTTACACATGTATCAGAGAAGGGGGGATTGGGGGACAAGTGTTTAAATTGTGCAGTATTATCAATAGTAAATAAGAGTCTGGTAGCAGCAGTTGTGAAGAGTGTGCAACATGAACATACACTGAGTGTACAAAACATTAGGAACACCTTCCTAATATTGAGTTGCAGCCCTTTTTGCCCTCAGAACAGCCTCAATTCGTCTGGGCATGGACTCTACAAGATGTCGAAAGTGTTCCACAGGGATGCTGGCCCATATTGACTCCAATGCTTCCCACAGTTGTGTCAAGTTGGCTAGATGTCCTTTGGGTGGTCGACCATTCTTGATACACACAGGAAACTGTTGACGTGAAAAACACAGCAGCATTGCAGTAGTTGACACACCCAAACCGGTGCCAAGAGTGTGCAAAGCTGTCATATAGGCAAAGGGTGGCTATTTGAAGAATCTCAAATATAAAATATATTTTGATTTGTTTAACACTTTTTGGGTTACTACATGATTCCATATGTGTTATTTCATCGTTTTGTTGTCTTCACTATTATTCTACAATGTAGAAAATATCAAAAATAAAGAAAAACCCTTGAATGAGTAGGTGTGTTCAATCTTTTGACTGGTACTGTATGTGCGCCGCCATTTGACTATTGAGCATAGTACTGCTATTCAAGCAAAATAGACATGATGGGAAATGCAAGGCTGGTTTACACTTGGTCTAACCACTGTCTGTGGACACTCTTCTCATTCTAATGGTCTACAGACAGCCTTTGACAGCCTCTGCTTGCCGATATTCCATATGACTCTTTTCCAAATTTAAAATAAATACATATGTATATATATATTCGAATAGTTATTCTGTTACAAAACATGTACATACTGTAGCATTGATTCACCAAGGAAGTCTGGGATGCCAACCAAAAATGTTTTTTTATTTAAATAAAATTTGGTTGAATTACACATTTAGCCATATGAGAATTACATTGGAGTTCAAACGTTCAAAATTGTTTACCGTCTCTTTGATTTACAGCAAATTGCAGACAATCCTGGTTCTACTGTAGGACCCAGTTAAATAAACTTCCCAACTGAACAATACCTCCCCCACCCCAGTAAGAATGTAGGAACCAGTGAATTGCACTACAAAATCCTGTATTACTTGTTGATGTTGTTGATGATAATGAATAGAACAAAATAAAAAAGATTAGTCTAATCTTCATCCTCTTTGAAATATTTATTTCAGGTTCAGTTTTGGGCTGCGTCACAAATGGCATCCTATATAGTGCATTCGATTTAGCCTCTAGGGAATACGGTGCCATTTCAGATTGTCCCCTAATCTCCATCATCTTTCAGCTGTTGGCTCTGCAGTGGCAGAGGGTCCATCCTAAGTGTTGTACAAAGCAGAGTGCCCTTGTTCCCAGAACGACTCTTCACCACATTCTCAGAGCAATAGGCCTTCATCCGGTACATATTAGTTTTACTCTCGCAGCAGCCCATGTTACTCAGTAACAGATAGACATCTTTCCTGAAAGCTTTAGTAAAGATGGCATAGAGGAAAGGGTTGGCACAGGAATTGATAGGAAAGAACAGCACCAGGAGTATCTTGGAGTTGGTGACAGTGATGAGCGGAACCTTAAAGGCTGCGGATATAGCGAAGAATGAGATGGGCGCCATGCAGAGGAGGTCTGTGAAGATGAGGACAGCCATGCGCTTAGCGATCTTGGCGTCTGCGCTGCGGCCGGGGAACTGGGGGTTCCGTACTGCCAGGTAGATGAGAACGTAGCAGACACAGACCACCAGGAACGCCCCCACGTTGAAGAGGAGGAGCAGGAGGATGAAGGCCTGGGCCAGAGGAGTCTTGATGTCCATGGGAAGGCACATACTCACCTGGAATATATTTATTGTGTTATTTTGTATACAGCAGTACTGAAAAAAAGTGTCCTAACCAATTTTCTTCTCTGGGACAATAATGTAAAGAGCACCCCAGAACGATGGACGGCCATCGCTTGCTGTCGTCGCAGTGTGTTTTAAACACAACAATGGACAGTCATCGCTTGCTGTTGCCGCAATGTGTCATAGCGACAACGATGGATGGCCATCACTTCCTGTCGCCGCGGTGTGTTATAGCAAGCACCTGCTGGGTGCAGACTAGTGGTGGCTATTTGTGTGGATTCAACATGTAGAATAATTGGAAAATGAACAGAAAATGTTGGCCGCTATTCTTTTCAGAAGCACTAGGTACGCTCTGCCGTCCATGGTTCTGGTGTTTTTCTTTTAATAGTACATAGTGTATCATATACCCTGCTGTAGCTACTGACCCCCACCAGGGGGAGCATGGCCATCCCCAGACAGATCAACCACCCTCCAGCCATGATGCCAGCAGCCTGCGCCAGGCCTAGCCTCTTCTCCAGCTGCAAGGCATGAGTTATCGTATGCCAGCGCTCCAGAGTGATAGTCGACAACGTGTACACCGACAGCTCCCCACCGAACACAGACAGGAAGCCCGCCGCACTACAACCCGCCCCCGTCTGCCAATCGATGGCGTGCTCACTGTAGTGGCCTCGGGTGCGGAGGTCAACTACGGCAATCATGAGGAGGTAGACACCGATGCAGAAGTCAGCAAAGGCCAGGTGACACATGAGGAAGCGTGGCACGGTGAGTTTACATCTGCTGAAGAAGAAGATGAGGAGGACCGTCAGGTTGCCGGCGATCGCCAGGATGTTGATGAACCAGATGGCGACTCTGAGAAAACTGAAACCTGGAGTTAACATGGGAAAATCAGTCAAACTCAATCAATCAAACTTGATTTGTATAACACATTTCTTACAGAAAATGCATTTAATGGTGCGTAACAAAATTATATAAAATTAAACAAAAATAAAATTAAGAAATAACTAAGATAGTAAAACAACAGTAAAATAACAGTGGAAAGGAGACAGTACGACAAAGTGATGTCATCTCTGTATATGGGTGCATCATGCCTAGGCCTACTGTTCTTTCAACGCTGAAAAAGGCTGTTGCCGAAACATGTCCGTTTGTTTGACCGCTTGACTGCTTAAAAGAACATTAAAACGTCTTAAGACTATTACAGTGAATTAGGGTTTTCCTTCCCCAGTTTATGTATTTTTAACCCTGCACCCAAAGACTTTTGCTTAGGGACTAAGCTGAGTTGAGCGCAGCAATTCTTGATTCTACCTGCTATGTCTTCACACGGGTTAAAGGCGTCAGCCTCTGGTGTGCACTGGAGGGTTGGTCTGGTCTGACAATATAACCCTAGTTCTGGATACTGGAAATCCACACCTCCGTAGGACTCATAATCAACATCTTCGGTTATTCCAGGTATTTCCACCAGTAGGGATGTGTTGGATGAATCCACCATAACACCTGGAGACCTGGTGGTACAGGAAGCGAGAGCTGTAAAGAACAGGTCAATGGTCACTAAAGTTTTATGACTGTATAATTATATTGACATTTCTTTTCGACTGAAGACCAATGCATTTAGCTTCGTGAGCCAGCCGGATCTCACATACTTACATAAATGAGTCTGGTAATATGAGGCTACAGTCCATTGGCTAGATAGAAAAACCTGTTTCCATAGTTCAAAGGTGGAGAGATGAAAGGTCATGACTGAAAGGTCATGATTGATCAGGATGTGTCACTAGTATTTCAGGACTGGATGAAAAACAGTTCACTAAAGTTCAGACAGGTAGTGGCATTTCCAATCAGATAGTTTAACTGGGCTCCCTGAAAAGTCATAATCAGTAGATGATTCATTACTCAAATTAGGAATTAGGCAAATAAGGCACCTTCAGTGAAGATGTCTCTAAGTCAAAATGGATGAATCTACAAACTTAGCAATTCTATGATGTAATGAATAATTATTTGGGGAACTCAGACTTTAGAGTTTTTAAAGGTGCAGTCAAAAATGTGATTTTCCTGTGTTTAATATATATTTCCACACTATGAGGTTGGAGTAATACTGTACACTTGTGAAAATGATGATACTGCCCTTTTAGTGTAAGAGCTGTTTGAAAAGACTGCCTGAAATTTCAGTTTTGGCCTTCCATTGTGACATCACCATGCGGTAAATTAGTTAATAAATCAATAAGAAAGAGAGTTCCAAACCTCTCTGCCAATAAATAGCTAATTGTCAGTTTTCCCCTCCCCACTCAAAATTCTTGCTTGAGAAATTGCCCTTTGCTAAGAAGCTTTTTTGATTATTTTTGACAATTGTAATTTAAAACAATCACAATAAGGTGCTTAATTGTTAACCAGAAATGAATTGATATTGAGATAAAAATGGCTGCACTGGACATTTAAACTACTGAAGTAGCAAACAAAGAAGGAAATGAAACCTCACTTTTCAGACGGACTGTGATCGCAATACGTAGGCCTAGATCCATTATGTCGTGCTGCATTGATTGGAGAATCCCTAGAGGAGATAGAGGTAAATCAAATATGTGTTCAAAATCAGCTTGGAGCCATAGAGATGTGTAGACGGCACACTTGCCACAAGATAGCCCACAATGGCACTGCCCATGCCGTCACAGAAGCCATGATCGCAAAGATAGGAGGTGCTCTCTCTTTTCCATCTCTATATTTGGAGCCTACTACCATGAGTGTCTGGTCTTGATTTCATTGTGAACCTCATTGATAAACTGCAACAGACTGAAACAGATATTGTTCCCATTTATGATCCTATGTTGTTAGGCCTGTGAGCTTGAATGATTACAGTAAAAGAGAGAGAGAGCGCGGGAGAAAGAGAAAGAGAGAGACAAAGTGTGTGTGTGGGTGTGGGTGTGTGTGTGGGTGTGGGTGTGGGTGTGGGTGTGGGTGTGGGTGTGGGTGTGTGCACTTGTTTTCCTATATTATCAGGACCCCAATGCCCTATCATTTCACCTTAATGTCCTGAAAAGGTAGGAAAACAATAACCTTTTTCAGGTCCTGAATTTGTTCAAATGCTATTTTATGCTTAAGGGTTTTGGGGTTAGGGTTAGGCTTAGGGTTTTTGGGTATAAGGTTAGGGTTAGGTTAAGTATTAGGGTTAGGTTTAGGGTTAGGGGTTAAGGAAAATATATATATTTATATGGGAAAAGAATGCACACTACAAAAAGTATTGACATTTCATGAAAACACAACTGTATGTGTGTGTGTGAATGCGTGTGTGTGTGTGTGTGTGTGTGTGTGTGTGCAGCACCGACCTCCTTCATTTCAACACATTTTGCAGCGAGAAAAATTGGCAGTTTTATAATGCTATTATACACATTTTGCCATGAGGCTGAGAGAACATGTTGCAGTTTTAAAGCAAATTTTCTGCAATTCTACACATTTTGTTATCATATGCTATCTGTGGGCCCCCTGACCTCTTGCTGCCTGTCTCAAGGGGAACTGCAACATGGTCATGCTTTGATCTTGTGCTGATGTGCTTTGGGGAAACAGTCAGTCAGAGAGACATATGTTTTTGATTCTCAAGACATTAACACAAAGCAGTGGTAGAGTATCACTTATATTAGGGCATAAAAATTTGATTTGGTTAACAGCAATAAGAAGAGTGGCATGAGAGCCGAGTCACACACACACACACACACACACACACACAGGGCCGGATTACCAAACGGGCACGCAGGGAACATGCACCGGGGCCCCCAACCTCAAATGAGATACAATATATTTAGTCTCTGGTGATAGACTGCTAGCTGGCCAGCAAACACTATTTGGTTTTGGGTTCTGAGATTACATTATCTTTAACCCATGCCCTAGAGACTGACTCAAGCTGCATCCTGTAAACAATTCATGGGATTCATTTGAAGGGCATTGAAGACTATAGTCTCATTAATTTCAAACTTTTACCAGCAATAGCCCACTTAATTACTAGTTATATCCCTCGAATAGCTGAAATCACTGTCCCTCGGCCCAAAAGGACGTTTCCTCTTGGTCTAATGGCCAAGATGCTGGTTTCTCCCGTGGGAGACCCAGGTTCAAACTCCGCCTGTGACGCTCGCTCCTGGTGTGAATCAGAAGAGGGTAGTTGGAGGAGCTATAGGAGGAAGGGCTCATTGTAATGGCTGGAATGGAATAAATGGAACAGAGTCAAACATGTGGTTTCCATATGTTCGATGTGCTTGATACCATTCCATTGATTCCATTCCAGCCATTACTCCTATAGCTCCTCCCACCAGCCTCCTCTGGTGTGAATGGGATATGCCACCTGTGTGTGTCCCAGGTGAGAAGGGCACAGCAGTGGCTGTTGTAGGTGAGGTGTGCCTTCTCTAGGTTCCCCAGACCCATGAAAGGGGGTAGTCTCTTTAGGCCGTAGGCTGTACGGGCAACCAGCTCCACAACAGAATCTAGGCCATGGGACGGCAAAGTCTCTATCGCCGTTGACGAGACATCTCTGGAAAACATACAGCCAAAACACAATCATAATAAAGATATTAATTAATGAATTCTCTCATTCACTAATGAACTCACTCACTCATTCATCAGAGCTCTAATTACAGACATGGCAAATGATTCAGAATGGATGGGAACTGTCATAATCGTAACTCACTCACTCACTCATTCACTCACTCACTCACACACTCACTCATTCCCTCACTCACTCACTCACTCACTCACTCACTCACTCACTCACTCACTCACTCACTCACTCACTCACTCACTCACTCACTCATTCACTCACTCACTCACTCACTCACTCACTCACTCACTCACTCACTCAGTACAGAGGATACAGAGGGTATTGAGGTTATTACATATACCAATGCATTAGATAGATTTTCAACTTCTACAGTGACTTACAGTGTGTGTACTGCATGCCTTTCTAGTATGTGTAGTTGATTCCTGCAGCTGTGGGAAGGTTACCATGACTTCAGATTATATTGTGATAACCTGTCTAAATAAAGGATACATAGAATAAAGATCAAATAATGATAGACTTTAAGCATGTCACTTACAGTATCCTAGGGCCCACTGCTCCTTTAAAAGCTTCCCTATGGATCACTCTGAGGTTTCGGTTATTCTTTAAAACCCTGAGAACACATAAAACAAAGTAGATGTAAATAGCATTGTTTATTGATACAGATGCTATCATTGCAAAACATTTTTTGGGAAATGTTAAAAGTATGTACAATAGTACAATTTATTTATCTTGGTCCCATTAAAGGCATAGTCTTGTATTTCTCTAATGCCGTTGTTAAACAGGTTCCTGGAATAGAGAGAAAACAATGTTAACACCAAAGGGGCCTAGATCCCAGATCTGGAGTAGGCAATAATGAGAGTTAGTGACTTTAAATGTCATTCAGTATAGCAATATCATTTTCACACTTCAGGTTTTTAGGACTATATTCTCCTTTGGATTGGAAAAAGTAGGCCTACCCATTATAATAACACAGTACTTACATTGCAGTATATTCAGTTGTCATGCCAACGAAAGCATTTTCTGGTATTGTCAGAAGATAGAGATTGTCACAGATATCCCTGTAAGACAAAATGTGGATTAAGTTGATATAATACTGTTTAGACCTATATTTACTTTTCAACAGTGTCGACAAGCCCTTCAACAACACTGACCCATACTTACAAGACTCTGTCTGATGAAAGTCACAGTGTTTTTAATGAATTTCTAATAAAAATAATTGTTTTAATGGAGAGTGTCGCACCTCTACCTCTTATGGACTCCACTAGGATTTAAGGCCACACCTCTTCTCATGTTGTTGGAGCACCTCTTTTTTTTCTCACATACTTACAAGACAAAATTTTGGTTCCAAGGTTCCAGAGAATGGATAGAAGTCATGTCAGGGAACACTGTTATCCCAGTGTTGGATATACTCCTGTTAATGCATAACAAGACTGTATTACATTACTTCATAACACAATAATAACCTATTTGCATTACCTTACTGAGGTCTTGCTTATGTATGTTGTATCATATGGTTTCTATGTATTTTATGTACAATATACGCTGAGTGTACAAAACATTAGGAACACCTCCCCCCTTTTTCCCTCAGAACAGCCTCAATTCGTCAGAGCATTGACTACAAGGTGTCAAAAGCGTTCCACAGGGATGCTGGCCCATGTTGACTCCAATGCCTCCCACAGATGTAATTTGGGTGGTGGACCATTCTTGATACACACGGAAAACTGTTGAGCGTGAAAAACCCAGCAGCAGTTCTTGACACACTCAAACCGGTGCGCTTGGCACCTACTACCATACCCAGTTCAAAGGCACTTAAATATTTTGTCTTTCCCAATCACCCTCTGAATGGCACGCATACACAATCCATGTCTCATGTGACATCAATAAGGGATCATAGCTTCCACCTGGATTCACCTGGTCAGTCTATGTCATGGAAAGAGCAGGTGTTCATAATGTTTTGTACACATAGCATATACACTGGGAACAATAAAGATTTACTGAACTGAAATGAACTATTGTGAAGTCAAAGTGTCAACATGTATGTTGTAGCAGAGTATGAGAAAGTATGTGAATGAATAAACCAGACTAGTAGTATTATCTAGAGAGGAACGAGCCCTCACTATGCAGAGAGAGAGATAGGCTGCGTGCCAAATGGCACCCTATTGCCTTTATAGTGCTCTACTTCTGACCAGAGCCCTATAAGGGAATACAAAGTAGTGGACTATAAAGGGAATACAAAGTAGTGGACTATAAAGGGAATACAAAGTAGTGGACTGTAAAGGGAATAGGGTGCCATTTGAGACACAAACATAGTATAGTACGGTATGGTATCTGGTATCTCTTAAAGTTCAGAAGGCCTCTCACAGATAACGCAGCTTAGGAAGGTTGTTGAACGTCCTTCGAGCGATGTGCACCAGGCTCCGTGTGTTCTTAATGAAGCTGCAAAACAAAAATGTATATGACGTCACATACAGCACACATCTGACATACAGGACCCGCCTGATTTCAGCCAGTCCCTTTTATATATTCGGAACATGGGCTCAGTAGAATACGTCACAGTAGTGGTCCCCTGTAGCTCAGTTGGTAGAGCATGGCGCTTGCAACGCCAGGGTTGTGGATTCGTTTCCCACGGGGGGCCAGTATGAAAAATGTATGCACTCACTATCTGTAAGTCGCTCTGGATAAGAGCGTCTGCTGAATGACTAAAATGTAAATGTATAGTGACGTTTAATCATTGTAGTTATACTGTATGTCACCCAAGCTGACATATTAGTTATACGTCACTTGCAATGACATATTACTTAACGTCACAAACATCACCTGCAAATCTAGAACACCGTCTTGAAAAAAAGATCAGCCCATACAAGAAAGCAGACTAAACTCTTTCTATGAGGATCCATTTTCTACCCCTGGGGGGGAGCACACTCACATTTCATTGAGGTCCAGAAGGTTGTTGAATGCAAGGGTCTCTATGGTTTCCAAGGCGACACTTTGACCAATTTCTCTAAAAGACGCACCAAGCAAAAACAGGTTATTTTGAATAATTCGTAATCAAAAGGAGTGTGGTCAAAAAGCGATTGAATTGATATGGATCAACCCCAGATTGATATTTGATACTCACATATGCTGGACTCTTCTCAGACCGTCAAAGGAGTGGCTGGCTATGGCGTTCATAGAGAGATGGTTCAGGACCCTGGGAAGTATGGGAACAGTCAGAAAGACAATATTATATAAAATTGTACTTTTAAACTATTTGACAGACCATAAAAAAGGAAACAATCTTTAATTCAATACATTAGTATGTGTTTTCTTTTAGTGAGTTAAATAAGACATTTTGTTAACAGTCAAGGAAGTGTGTGTTCCTGAAAGAATTCCCTGTGTGAAGTTGTCCTGGTAATAACTCATTGTTCAAGGTCTTCCACTCAGCCACACACATATCTGTTGTCCTCTTCAGTAAACACACACACACTCACACACACTCACACACACACACACACACACACACACACACACACACACACACACACACACACACACACACACACACACACACACACACACACACACACACAAACACACACACACACACACACACACACACACACACACACACACACACACACACACACACACACAAACACACCAACACACACACACAACCGAAACAAGGCCTAAATATATGGAAATGAAACCTGCAATATACAGACAAATGATTATAGCATGATGCTCTTTTCATAACTGATTCTTGATTTTATTTAATCTAAAAATCCAGTATTTACTGCATTATGCACCAAACATTAGCTAATTTCACATGACTTTTCCGAGAAGAAAATAGTTCATAAATGTTTCACAACAATTACTATTGTCACGCCCTGGCTCTGGGACTCTGTTATGTTGAGCCAGGGTGTGTTGTTTCTATGTGTTTTGTGTTCTAGGTTGATTATCTAGCTCATGTGTTTCTGGGTTGGCCGGGGTGGTTCTCAATCAGAGGCAACGAGTAACAGCTGTTGCTTGTTGTCTCTGATTGGGAACCATACTTAGGCAGCCTGTTTTCCACAGTGTTTTGTGGGATCTTGTTCCGCCTGTCCGTAGGTGCTGGTATTTTGCTCTATTGTGTTTAGAGTCCAGACGCACTTTTGCGTATTCTTGTGCATTGGAGTATTTTTGCGCACTGTTGCGTAATCGCTCGCCTCCTTGTTTTTGTTGAGGCCCTTTTCTTTGTATTGTCGTGTCCTCTAGTAAAGTCTGTTGGAAGTAGCTTCTGTGTCCTGCGCCTGACTCCTACACCACATCCACATCAGCCATTGACAGAAGATCCCACCATAACTGGACCAAGCAGCGTGTCCAGGAGCCAACGCCAGAGGTGAATCTAATGGATGTCCACCTCGACTGGGTCAAGCAGCGTGTCCAGGAGCCAACGCCAGAGGTGAATCTAATGGATATCAACCTCGACTGGGTCAAGCCGCGTGAGGAGGAGAGAGGTTGGACTTGGGAGCAGAAGATGGAGAGTCTGGCGAGAGCCATGGAGGCCATAGCATCGGGGGAGAGACAAACCCAATACATTTTTAGGGGGGGGGGGCTCACACCGTGGACAACGGGGCTGCTGGAGGCAGATAAGGGGTGAGTTAGTGGACGAGGAGAGAAGGCCACCGGGTTACGGGAGCCATTGGCGAGTAGAGGGAAGGAAAATGTAGAGGCACGGCGAGAGGTACTGAGGTGTGTTGCCAGTCCGGTCCGGCCCATTCATGAACCCCGGGTAAGGCCAGTGGTGTGTGTTCCCAGTGCGGTCCGGCCTGTTCCTGTCCCTCGCACCAAGCCTGTGATGCGCGTCGCCAGCCCGGTCTGGCCTGTTCCTGCCTCTCGCACCAATCCTACGGTGCGCGTCGCCAGCCCGGCCCGGCCTGTTCCTGCTCCCCGCACCAAGCCAATGGTGCACGTCGCCAGCCCGGCCCGGCCTGTTCCTGCTCCCCGCACCAAGCCAATGGTGCGCGTCGCCAGCCCGGCCCGGCCTGTTCCTGCTCCCCGCACCAAGCCAATGGTGCGCGTCGCCAGCCCGGCCCGACCTGTTCCTGCTCCCCGCACCAAGCCAATGGTGCGCGTCGCCAGCCCGGCCCGGCCTGTTCCTGCTCCCCGCACCAAGCCAATGGTGCGCGTCGCCAGCCCGGCCCGACCTGTTCCTGCTCCCCGCACCAAGCCAAAGGTGCGCGTCGCCAGCCCGGCCTGGCCTGTTCCTGCTCCCTGCACCAAGCCAGGGGTGCGCGTCGTCAGCCTGGTCCGGCCCGTTCCTGCTCCCCGCACCAAGCCTGTGGTGCGCATCGTCAGCCCGGTTCGGCCCGTCCCTGCTCCCCGCACTAAGCCTGTGGTGCGCATCGTCAGCCCGGTCCGGCCCTGCTCCCCGCACCAAGCCTGTGGTGCACTTCGTCAGCCCGGTTCGGCCCGTCCCTGCTCCCCGCGCCAAGACTGTGGTGCGCGTCGTCAGCCCGGTCCGGCCCGTTCCTGCTCCCCGCACCAAGCCTGTGGTGCGCGTCGTCAGTCCGGCACAGCCCGTGCCTGGGTCACCGGTGCCTGGTCAGGTACCGGTCAGCTGCTCCACATCGGAGCCTAAGCAATCCGCTCCACCGATGTCCAGTCCAGCTCCAGCCAGCGGGGCCAGACCGGACCAGGGGCGCTACGGAGGGTGGTGGTCAAGCCCGGAGCCGGCCCTCCCCTGTTCGGTTTATGTTTGGCGCGGTCGCAGTCCGCGCCTTTGGGGGGGGGGTACTGTCACGCCCTGGCTCTGGGACTCTGTTATGTTGAGCCAGGGTGTGTCGTTTCTATGTGTTTTGTGTTCTAGGTTGATTATCTAGCTCATGTGTTTCTGGGTTGGCCGGGGTGGTTCTCAATCAGAGGCAACGAGTATCAGCTGTTGCTTGTTGTCTCTGATTGGGAACCATACTTAGGCAGCCTGTTTTCCACAGTGTTTTGTGGGATCTTGTTCCGTGTTGGTTTTGTATTGTAACCAAGGACTTCACGTTATCGTTTTGTTTCGTGTGGAATAAAATAAGTATGTTCGCAAATCACGCTGCGCATTGGTCCATTTCCTCCAACGATCGTGACAACTATATTATATTTTCCACTCTGTTATATTTTTCTCCAATGACAACCAATTCAAAAAGCTAAAACCAAGTTGAACCTGCAGGAGGCAAACTTTTTCCTCTATGTAGGAAGATAAGATGGCCTGGCCTGTGTTTGTGTGTGACTATGTCCTGCTGGCCACAGAGTGACAGGGATGTTTTAAGGGACATGTAGAGTTACAGTGTCCAAAAAAGGTCACCAGTTGATTCAGTTTCCAATTATAGAATAAATAATATATTTGTAAGGAGGATAAAAGTAACATAATTATTTCATTTCAATTGTACTGTTCTTAATTCTTAAAGCAGCAATCTGCAGTTGCTCCATCCATTTTTGGACTCATACCCTATAAGACCCCGAAATATAAGCTTGTTTTACTCTGTTTGTTAACATTGTAATTGTAAACAAACACTGTATAGCCTCTCAAAACATGGGTAAAACTGTTATGTTTATATCACGGAGGGTCAGTCCTGGCATCCATAGCTCTGTATCACGGAGGGTCAGTCCTGGCATCCATAGCTCTGTATCACGGAGGGTCAGTCCTGGCATCCATAGCTCTGTCTGAGAGTGGTTACATTTCTCCCGTCCCTCCGTTTTTTACCAAAACAGAGGCGGGTGACGGCTTTGTTATTGTTTCAACTGCAGATTGGCCCTTTAAACAATACTAGTATTATATACATTATTCTAACTATATTTACTGTATATCTAATGAACATTATGGTAACTATTGCAACAAAGAAACAAGCTTAAGGAAGGTTTTCACCCTCATAGAAACTGCACATGCAATAACCTGTTTGTGATGCGTGCAGGATAGTAGAAATGTGATCTGGAGGTAAAGGTCATGGGTTAGACAGCAGAGCTATAGCACACATGACTATACTAGACACCAAAATAAATAGTATATTATTTCCTGGGTTTTGTTCTCCAATAGTCCCGTCATCACAGCGTATATTGAGAAATGAGTTACATGACAGAAAAATGTTTTACCATTACTGTTACAGTATATATGATGGAGTGCATATATACTGTCACTGAACTCTCTGGAATTCAAGTAAAATATCCCATTGATGTTCTCAAAGCCTTTTTTTGCTCCGGGCTGAAAGGTGGTGTTTGTAATTACCCCCCCCCCCCCTGTTTCACATGTGATTTTATGTGAAGTTAATGTGATAACATGTGACAACATGTAAAAGCAACATGTGATAAGATGAAACTACACGTGAAAACATTTGATATCATGTGAAATAAATGTGACAACATGGGGATGCAAAATTTCAACATGTGATACAATGAAACTACACATATGACAACATTTGAATGTTTCTCACATGTAAAACTGCTAAATCGATTTTCACATTTGAATGTTTATCACATGTAAAAATGCAATTCTACATGTGAGAGTTGTATTTTCACATTTGAATGTTTCTTACATGTGGAACTGCAAATGTGATTTTCACGTGTTTGTTTTTCACATTTGAACTTGCAATTCCACATGTGAAGCTGCAATTCACATGTGAAGTGAAACCATGTTACTATTTTGACATGTGAAAAGGTGGTGTTAACATGTGAACATCTGACCTCACGTGTCTCTTTTTTTTCACACAATTTCACATTGTGCAATTGCAAATTTCACAGGAAATAATGAAATGGTATGTATTTTTTTAGGTAAATGGTAAATGGTATGGCAGTTTTGAACTGTTCAGCTAAAATAGTGTAAAAAGCTTTAATCAATGATGACTTAGTACTGACTTTTCAGTATGAGCCCACGTGGGATTTGAACTCACAACCTCTGGATTTAGGGTACATTTACCTTTCTGCTGCTCCACAATATCTGTAGCATTCTCAGAATTCCACTACACATTCATTACCTATAATACATCTATGCACTTAGCGAAAGAGTGCCATCTGCACTGCTAGTTTAGTTATCAGTTAAAGAGATGCTCCAGTACTTTTGTATACGTTTTGGCCAGTAGTTCTGAAAGCAGCACTCAAGAGCCAAAATTGGTCCCCGAAAATTCACATATGTGCACCACGTCATTGCTCTCTCTCTCTTGCTCTGATGTGTGTATATCTTGGTAGCTGTCACTCAAATGGCGAGGGGCTGAAGCTCATTGGTTGAACTCGAATTGCTAGGAGGCTGGCCCATGTGGGGGAAAATGTAGGGGAAATGGCGCATCACAACTTCTAGAAAAACAGTCACTTTCAAACTAGGGATTTCGTGGCTAATTGAGGTAACACGGTAATTCTGCTCATAGATTATGCATGTATGAACTACACATTGACAAATCCAGCCCAAAGCGGGAGGTTTAAAAAATACTTAGTAGTCACCACAGTTCAAGAGCATGCCTTTTTTCTGGCTATTCTCGCATCATTGATTTCATTGACTTATTTCAGCAATTTGAGGGTTTTCTGTATAGTTGTCTAATGTTGGTGGGGCATATTATTCTGTTTTAATGTTACTCCTGAATCACTATGATAAATATTATAGATTTTGTAGCGTATTATACAAAGCTGAGATTTACTTTGATGTCCAAAGTGTAGGAATACAGGTGAAATCAGTCATTGACTAAATCAGCTCATCACTAAGCTAAGGAACCTGGAACTAAACACCTCCCTCTACAACTGGATCCTGGACTTCCTGACGGGCCGCCCCCAGGTGTTAAGGGTAGGTAACAACACATCCGCCACGCTGATCCTCAACACAGGGGCCCCTCAGGGGTGCGTGCTCAACCCCTCCAGTACTCCCTGTTCACTCATGACTGCATGGCCAGGCATGACTCCAACACCATCATTAAGTTTGCAGATGACACAACAGTGGTAGGCCTGATCACAGACAACGACGAGACAGCCTATAGGGAGGAGGTCAGAGACCTGGCCGTGTGGTGCCAGGACAACAACCTCTCAACAACACCACATCACCAACATGGTCCAAGCGCACCAAGACAGTCGTGAAGAGGGCACGACAAAACCTATTCCCCCTAAGGAGACTGAAAAGATTTAGCATGGGTCCTCAGATCCTCAAAAGGTTCTACAGCTGCACCATCGAGAGCATCCTGACTGGTTGCATCACTGCCTGGTATGGCAACTGCTCGGCCTCCGACCGCAAGGCACTACAGAGGTTAGTGTGTACGGCCCAGTAAATCACTGGGGCCAAGCTTCCTGCCATCCAGGACCTCTATACCAGGCAGTGTCAGAGGAAGGTCCTAAGAATTGTCAAAGACTCCAGCCACCCTAGACATAGACTGTTCTCTCTGCTACCGCACGGCAAGCGTTATCGGAGCGCCAAGTCTAGGTCCAAGAGGCTTCTAAACAGCTTCTACCCCCAAGCCGTAAGACTCCTGAACATCTACAGTGGGGAGAACAAGTATTTGATACACTGCCTATTTTGCAGGTTTTCCTACTTACAAAGCATGTAGAGGTCTGTAATTGACCCAGCCACGATCCATCTTCAATGCTCTTACTGAGGGAAGGAGGTTGTTGGCCAAGATCTCGCGATACATGGCCCCATCCATCCTCCCCTCAATACGGTGCAGTCGTCCTGCCCCCTTTGCAGAAAAGCATCCCCAAATGATGTTTCCACCTCCATGCTTCACGGTTGGGATGGTGTTCTTGGGGTTGTACTCATCCTTCTTCTTCCTCCAAACACGGCGAGTGGAGTTTAGACCAAAAAGCTCTATTTTTGTCTCATCAGACCACATGACCTTCTCCCATTCCTCCTCTGGATCATCCATATGGTCATTGGCAAACTTCAGATGGGCCTGGACATGCGCTGGCTTGAGCAGGGGGACCTTGCGTGCGCTGCAGGATTTTAATCCATGACGGCGTAGTGTGTTACTAATGGTTTTCTTTGAGACTGTGGTCCCAGCTCTCTTCAGGTCATTGACCAGGTCCTGCCGTGTAGTTCTGGGCTGATCCCTCACATTCCTCATGATCATTGATGCCCCACGAGGTGAGATCTTGCATGGACCCCCAGACCGAGGGTGATTGACCGTCATCTTGAACTTCTTCCATTTTCTAATAATTGCGCCAACAGTTGTTGCCTTCTCACCAAGCTGCTTGCCTATTGTCCTGTAGCCCATCCCAGCCTTGTGCAGGTCTACAATGTTATCCTTGATGTCCTTACACAGCTCTCTGTTCTTGGCCATTGTGGAGAGGTTGGAGTCTGTTTGATTGAGTGTGTGGACAGGTGTCTTTTATACAGGTAACGAGTTAAAACAGGTGCAGTTAATACAGGTAATGAGTGGAGAACAGGAGGGCTTCTTAAAGAAAAACTAACAGATCTGTGAGAGCCGGAATTCTTAATGGTTGGTAGGTGATCAAATACTTATGTCATGCAATAAAATGCAAATTAATTACTTAAAAATCATACAATGTGATTTTCTGGATTTTTGTTTTAGATTCCGTCTCTCACAGTTGAAGTGCACCTATGATAAAAATTACAGACCTCTGCATGCTTTGTAAGTAGGAAAACCTGCAAAATCGGCAGTGTATCAAATACTTGTTCTCCCCACTGTAATCAAATGGCTACCTAGACTATTTGCATTGCCCCCCCACCCCTATTTTACACTGCTTCTACTCTCTGTTTATTATCTATGCATAGTCACTTTAATAACTCTACCTACATGTACATATTACCACAATTACCTCGACTAACTGGTGCCCCCACACATTGACTCAGTACCGGTATCCCCCTGTATATAGCCTCGCTATTATTCTTTTTACTGCTGCTCTTTAATTATTTGTTACTTTTATTTCATATTATTTTGGTTTGTATTTTTTTGTGATTTTTTTGTTGTATTCTTTCTTAAAACTGTATTTTTGGTTAAGGGCTTGTAAGTAAGCATTTCACTGTAAGGTCTACACCTGTTGTATTCGGCACATTAGACAAATACAATTTGACTTGATTTGATTGACACAGACATGGTGGCGTAGCAGGAAAATTGGAATGCCGTGACCCGAAAGGTTGTGAGTTCAAATCCCAGGTGAGGATGTTTTGAGTAATAATGACTATATACAATTGGAGTTGGAGGTTTACATACACTTAGGTTGGAGTCATTAAAACTTGTTTTTCAACCACTACACACATTTCTTGTTAACAAACTATAGTTTTGGCAAGTCGGTTAGGACATATACTTTGTGCATGACACAACTACTTTTTCCAACAATTGTTTACAGACAGATTATTTCGCTTATAATTCACTGTATCACAATTCCGGTGGGTCAGAAGTTTACATACACTAAGTTAACGGTGAATTAAACAGCTTGGAAAATTCCAGAGAATGATGTCATGGCTTTAGAAGCTTCTGATAGGCTAACTGACATCATTTGAGTCAATTGGAGGTGTACCTGTGGATGTATTTCAAGGCCTACCTTCAAACTCAGTGCCCCTTTGCTTGACATCATGGAAAAATCAAAAGAAATCAGCCAAGACCTCAGAAAGAAAATTATAGACCTCCACAAGTCTGGTTCATCCTTGGGAGCAATTTCCAAACGCCTGAAGGTACCACATTCATCTGTACAAACAATAGTACACAAGTATAAACACCATGGGACCACGCAGCCGTCATACCGCTCAGGAAGGAGACGCTTTCTGTCTCCTAGAGATGAACGTACTTTGGTGCGAAAAGTGCAACTCAATCCCAGAACAACAGCAAAGGACCTTGTGAAGATGCTGGAGGAAACAGGTACAAAAGTATCTATATCCACAGTAAAACCAGTCCTATATCAACATAACCTGAAAGGCCGCTCAGCAAGGAAGAAGCCACTGCTCCAAAACCGCCATAGAAAAGCCAGACTACGGTTTGCAACTGCACATGGGGACAAAGATCGTACTTTTTGGAGAAATGTCCTCTGGTCTGATGAAACAAAAATAGAACTGTTTGGCCATAATGACCATCGTTATGTTTGGAGGAAAAAGGGGGTTGCTTGCAATCCGAAGAACACCATCCCAACCGTGAAGCACGGGGGTGGCAGCATCATGCTGTGGGGGTGCTTTGCTGCAGGAGGGACTGGTGGATTTCAGAAAATAGATGGCATCATGAGGAAGGAAGATCATGTGGATATATTGAAGCAACATCTTAAGAAATTAGTCAAGAAGTTAAAGCTTGGTCGCAAATTGGTCTTCCAAATGGACAATGACCCCAAGCATACTTCCAAAGTTGTGGCAAAATGTCTTAAGGACAACAAAGTCAAGGTATTGAAGTGGCCATCACAAAGCCCTGACATCAATCCTTTAGAAAATGTGTGGGCAGAACTGAAAAAGTGTTTGCAAGCAAGGAGACCTACAAACCTGACTCAGTTACACGAGCTCTGTCAGGAGGAATGGGCCAAAATTCACCCAACTTATTGTGGGAAGCTTGTGGAAGGCTACCCAAAACGTTTGACCCCAGTTAAACAATTTAAAGGCAATGCTACCAAATACTAATTGAGTGTATGTAAACTTCTGACCCACTGGGAATGTGATGAAAGAAATAAAAGCTGAAATAAATCATTCTCTCTACTATTATTCTGACATATCACATTCTTAAAATAAAGTGGTGATCCTAACTGACCTAAGACAGGGAATTCTTACTAGTATTAAATGTCAGGAATTGTGAAAAACTGAGCTTAAATGTATTTGGCTAAGGTGTATGTAAACTTCCGACTTCAACTGTAAGTAAACATACACAACATAGTCAAATATGTAAGTTGAAAAAACTGTGACTATTTTGTGAAGTTCCTTTGACATCTTAACAAGTAATTACTGTTTGCAGGGTGTCATCTTGTGAAATCCTCATGTGAAATATAATCAGTGTCCCAAAATCACATGGCTTCACATGTGAAATAAAATATTACATGTGGAAATTTCACAAGTGAAATCATGTGGTTTTTCTGTAAGGGAACTCAAAGTGACTATATTAGATTAACAGTGAGGGAAAAAAGTATTTGGTCCCCTGCTGATTTTGTACGTTTGCCCACTTACAAAGAAATGATCAGTCTATAATTTTAATGGTAGGTTTATTTGAACAGTGAGAGACAGAATAACAACAAAATAATCCAGAAAAATGCATGTCAAAAATGTTATAAATTGATTTGCATTTTAATGAGGGAAATAAGTATTTGACCCCCTCTCAATCAGAACGATTTCTGGCTCCCAGGTGTCTTTTATACAGGTAACGAGCTGAGATTAGGAGCACACTCTTAAAGGGACACCTGTCCACAGAAGCAATCAATCAATCAGATTCCAAACTCTCCTCCATAGCCAAGACCAAAGAGCTCTCCAAGGATGTCAGGGACAAGATTGTAGACCTACACAAGGCTGGAATGGGCTACAAGACCATCGCCAAGCAGCTTGTTGAGAAGGTGACAACAGTTGGTGGGATTATTCGCAAATGGAAGAAACACAAAAGAACTGTCAATCTCCCTCGGCCTGGGGCTCCATGCAAGATCTCACCTTGTGGAGTTGCAATGATCTTGAGAACGGTGAGGAATCAGCCCAGAGCTACACGGGAGGATCTTGTCAATGATCTCAAGGCAGCTGGGACCAAAGTCACCAAGAAAACAATTGGTAACACACTACGCCATGAAGGACTGAAATCCTGCAGCACCCGCATTGTCCCCCTGCTCAAGAAAGCACATATACAGGCCCGTCTGAAGTTTGCCAATGAACATCTGAATGATTCAGAGGAGAACTGGGTGAAAGTGTTGTGGTCAGATGAGACCTAAATCGAGCTCTTTGGCACCAACTTACCTCGCCGTGTTTGGAGGAGGAGGAATGCTGCCTATGACCCCAAGAACACCATCCCCACCGTCAAACATGGAGGTGGAAACATTATGCTTTGGGGGTGTTTTTCTGCTAAGGGGACAGGACAACTTCACCGCATCAAAGGGACGATGGACGGGGCCATGTACTGTCAAATCTTGGGAGAGAACCTCCTTCCCTCAGCCAGGTCATTGAAAATGGGTTGTGGATGAGTATTCCAGCATGACAATGACCCAAAACACACGGCCAAGGCAACAAAGGAGTCGCTCAAGAAGAAGCACATTAAGGTCCTGGAGTGGCCTAGCCTGTGGAAGGAGCTGAAGGTTTGAGTTGCCAAACGTCAGCCTCGAAACCTTTATGACTTGGAGAAGATCTGCAAAGAGGAGTGGGACAAAATCCCTCCTGAGATGTGTGCAAACCTGGTGGCCAACTACAAGAAACGTCTGACCTCTATGATTGCCAACAAGGGTTTTGCCACCAAGTACTAAGTCATGTTTTGCAGAGGGGTCAAATACTTATTTCCCTCATTAAAATGCAAATCAATTTATAACATTTTTGACATGCGTTTTTCTGGATGTCTTTGTTGTTATTCTGTCTCTCACTGTTCAAATAAACCTACCATTAAAATTATAGACTGACAATTTATTTGTCAGTGGGCAAACGTACAAAATCAGCAGGGGATCAAATACTTTTTTCCCTCACTGTATGCTCCACAAAGGGTTGAAGTACTACTTTGTTGTAGCTTAGTGGTTAAGAGCGTTGTGCCAGTAACCGAAAGGTTGCTGGATCTAATCCCCGAGCCTACTAGGTGAAAAATCTGTCAATGTGTCCTTGAGCAAGGCACTTAACCCTAATTGCTCCTGTAAGTCACTCTGGATAAGAGCGTCTGGTAAATGTAATTAACGTTTTACTGCAGTGGGCTAAACCAGAGTCACACAGACTGTTTCTTGGTAGTCTTAAACAAATCTACTTTGAAACACAATTATACACCTCACACACAGGGTTATGGGCTTAAACAAAAGAAGACACCTGTAACATGTCAGATTTAGAGCTGAAATGTTTTTATTTTTGAGTTTGCATCCCAATATTACACTTTATATACATCACAGAAGACTGAAATATAACAAAAACGTTTTAACATAGAAACATTGGATTTCCGGCACGTTTTTATTAATTAAGAAATGATGAAAAATATGAATAACATTCCACCCATGAGGCCACTAGGTCATTTGACTGCAGGAAAGGGCTATGTTCTACTTTACTTTGCCTTCTGCTCCTCATAGAATAGCAGTGTCACATCTCACTGAGGAATAATTATTAGAGGGGGCTATGTCATCAGTTCCAGAATGGGGTGAAAATGGCCAACCATTGTGTTTAGGGAGAAATCCAAAACAGTCTAATTGGAATGAATGGCAGTAGAGGAATATACGCATCATGAGGTTGCTACAACTTAGCCTATGAATTAAAGTTTACAAAGTAGGTGCACACAAGTCGAGAGACAAATTTGAGGTGACAGACAGTGACATTCAATACCGTCTTGCACACTCTTATAATAATAATATGCCATTTAGCAGATGCTTTTATCTACAGCGACTTACAGTCATGCGTGCATACATTTTTTGGTATGGGTAGTCCCAGGGATCAAACCCACTACCCTGGCTTTACAAGCACCATGCTCTACCAATTGAGCTACAGAGGACTTGCCTGCAGCTAGCTGATATACGGTATAATCATTAGTCCAACAGTTGCAAAGAAGAGTTTATTTTGGACAAATTCAGGTATGTTTATCCTTGTTTTGTTCCGTTTGCTTCTGTTTATAGCAGACACGTTGTATTCCTTCTCACATCTATGTGCTCTCCTCTCACCTCTTCCCTTTCGCTTGTGGACTTCAATGCACAACACATCAGCTGTATGTGACCAGGTGAAAAAACCTTTCCAAGCCAAACCGCTACACACAGCCTACATTGTTGTCACCATATTAGCTAAAGTAATGTCATAGTCAGCATAGCTAATAGAACTAACGCGTTAGTAAACCCGCTACAATCATGCAGTAACGTTACAGTGTACAGTCAGTAAGCAGTTACACCGGCGGGCCCCGGTGGTAATAATCTAGTAAAACCAAAAGCTTACTTTGACTTGGAAGAGTTCCAGTGTTGTGTTGGAAAGTCATAGCCAGCTAGCTAACATAGCATCCCTCTGTTTGAGCAGAGTGTTTCAGTAGGCTAAACTAGCTAGCTGCATTTGCTAGCTAAGTAAGTGAAAGTGAAAGTGAAAAAAATATGACTCTCTATTTCTCTCTTGTTTCTCCTTCATTTCGGAATAAATTAATTTGTTCAAAACTGTTCAACCATTGTCTTTCTCTCTCTGAGTCAACTACTCACCACATTTTATACACTGCAATGCTAGCTAGCTGTAGTTTATGCTTTCAGTACTAGGTTAATTCTCTGATCATTTGATTGGGTGGACAAAATGTCAGTTCATGCTGCAAGAGCTCTGATAGGTTGGAGGACGTCCTCTGGAAGTTGTCATAATTACTGTGTAAGTCTATGGAAGGGGGTGAGAACCACAAGCCTCCAAGGTTTTGTATTGAAGTCAATGTACCCAGAGGAGGATGGAAGCTAGCTGTCCTCCGGCTACAACATGGTGCTACCCTACAGAGTGCTGTTGAGGCTACTGTAGACCTTCCTTGCAAAATAGTGTGTTTTAATCAATTATTTGGTGACGTGATTATATTTAGTATAGTTTTATCTGAAAAGGATAACTTTTTAAAAGTTATACCATTTTTATTTTTATGAAATTCACTGAGGATGGTCCTCCCCTTCCTCCTCTGAGAAGCCTCCACAGTTATAAATATAGTTTATACAGGTTTTATACAAATGTTCTGTATAAATAGCATCTAACATACAGTACACACACAAACACAGTACTACAAATGTAGATTGATAAATGGCGGTCTATGCTAGGCAAACAGGTTCTGTAATGAAACCTGCCAACAAGATTACAGCTAACTGCTGGGCCACATGTGGTCTGATCGGCCTCATGTAGTAAATGGCATGCAAAGTACACACACACACTCACACGCACACACTCACACACACACATGTTGGCTTTACTATCCAAGTGGGGACCAAAAAATCATATTTTCCCTCACCCTTAAACCTAACCCTAACCCTTAATCTAACCCTAACCTTAACCTTAACCCTAACCTTAACCTCAAACCCCTAACCCTAAAACTAACCCTAACTCCTAACCCTAATCCTAACCCCTAAACCCTAACCCCTAACCCTAATTCTAACTCTAACCCTAATTATAACCCTAACCCTAAACCTAACCCCTAAGCCTAAAATAGCATTTTTCCTTTTAGGGACCGGAAAAATGTCCCCACTTGCTTTACTATCCTTGTGAGGACTTTTGGAACCCAAAAGGATTAAAGTTAATTTAACCACACACACGCACACACACACACATACACACACACACACACACACACACACACACACACACACACACACACACACAGCAAACTAAGCAGGAAACATTAAAGACCAGGGAAACAAATGTACTTTTTCCTTTAGTCCAGGGTTCTTCAATTCCAGTCCTGGAGGGCCGAAACACGTCTGTTTTTCATCCTCTCCTTCTAATCAGGGGCTAATTCAGACCTGGGACAGCAGGTGAGTGCAATTAACTACCAGGTAGAAATAAAAAACAGAAGTGTTTCGGCCCTCCAGGACCGGAATTGAAGAACCCTGCTTTAGTCTTTCATAGATTGCTGCTGCTTCTGTGATTATGATGGTGTGATGTTATTGAATGAGTGCACTATTTCCTTTTGCAGAATGTGATTAATTTCAAAATGTACTGAAGGAGGCTGATGGAGGTTGTGTGGGGAGTAGAGGCTGTAAGGTAATTGGAATCCTATTGTTATATTAGGAAAATGTATGCACTCACTAACTGTAAGTCGCTCTGGATAAGAGCGTCTGCTAAATGACTAAAATGTAAATGTAAATGTAAAAAGCAATAATGCACAACAAAATCCCATTGCGTAGGCCTAGTGATTGTCTGATAGCTTGGAGAATGAATGGCAATTAAGCCTTGAATAAATTAACAAGTGCAAGGTAAAAATGCGTGAGGGTGATAAACTATGTTTTTCTTACCCTTCCTCTCAATGTCTTTTTTCATTAAAAGTGTTGAAGTGAATCATACCTTGTTCATTACCAAACACACTGCAGGGGGAGTCTAACAAAAAACATAGTGTTCTCCTGAATCAACCCTAGAAATGTTAAACTGAAAAATCAACACTAGATAACTGATTCCATTAGGTCTTGTTGTGGCTTTATTTTATTATTTTATTTAACCTTTATTTAACTAGGCAAGCTTTAGCCTCTTAAAGGTACAACATGGTCATTTGTGAAGACTGCCTGGACAGGATTCAGTAAACATTTTCATACTGGTGTTAAATGAATTATGTAAGTGTTAAATTAACACTCATTCCTTCAAAAGAACCCCAGTGTTGGTGTTAATAACCAGTTTTAAACCAAACCACGCCCACCATTATCATATTTCCCAGCATGCTCTGTTGCAGGTTGATTTTTAGAATAGTTTGTTTCAATATGTATATTTTTGCATGTATATTGATTGATTAATTAATATTATGCTACTCAAATATAAATAAAATACATTTTTATAAACAAATCCAATCTGTTACTTGGACTTATTGCACCCATTACTGAAATGGTTGTTCCAGTTTAGATGGCTTAGGTAGTCTCATATCTTAGTTTACCCAATTTGGCAGTCATTCTGAATGCAGGCAGTGTTGAATGAAAATGCAAAATGTTGGATACACCCACTCTGGCTGGCTTCCAGTAAGAATTACACAGCACTTTGCAAGCCATCATAATGTGACTTGCAAGGCCTGAAAAACAGGAGTTTCAGGCCACTTTATTAGGGTTAAACTAGGCCCTCAAAATAAGGCCTTACTAAATACTTGTTACTGTGCTAAATGATAAAATGTTAATGATAACATATTCACTTAGGATCTCACTTGGTGAAGGCCACAGGACTGAGCATTTATGAACGCAACAACCATGTCACTGTCCCTAACAAATACAGTCATGGGTGCTAAGTCTACAATTCACTCGAAAGGCAAGGCACTCTAGGAAATATGCAAATAAGGCTTTACACTAAGTAGACATTAATTTAACACTAGTTAAACTAAGTGTGGACCCGTCAGTGTTGATTTAACACTGGAGAACTGGCTGTGTAAAAATGACCTCAGCAAATGATCTGGCAGAAGACTTATAGGGGTTTTATAAACAGTCTGTCTGCCAAAATGTGTCTTACAGACAGACAACTTTAAAGGGATAGTTCACTTTTAATGTTCAGCTTATTTTTGACTTCTCTATAGGGTGTTTTTGTGTCCTCTGAAACATTTTGAAATCAATTGGCTGGTTATTTAGCAATTTCAAGAATAATCTGGCTCACAATTTTGCAGAATGTAGCAATGCTAAACTTCAGAAAACTGAACTATCCCTTTAATGGAAACTTGACTGCAGGAGATGGCCTCTATACTCTGCCAAGAGAGATTTGCTTTGAACTAATTTACAACATGCAGCTTTGGATTTCTCTCCATAGATGGCACCTCGAATTATCACCTGGCCCTGCTCCACACACACACACACACACACACACACACACACACACACACACACACACACACACACACACACACACACACACACACACACACACAGGCTAGTATGTTTCAAATATAAAATAATAGTGTAGAATACAATAGGAAACCTGAATTTAGCCATATCCAAATCAATTAATTCCAAATTCACAAGTTGGCCATAATAGTGTTTTAGAGCCTAGGGATTTGAGGATGAAACAGCATAAACAGAACGTATCTCAGTCAGCCTCTAAGGACTGGAGAAAGGTTCCAGAGCATTACATCAAATTCAGTAGCTTGAACTTGTTGGGTATAATCAAACCAAAATGATGTTGCTGGGAATTTTCAATGCATAGAAAGCAAGTTTTCGTAGACTTACAAGGCTTTGGAACATAATGTGCCCCTCACAACCTACCCAATGGAAACGTTATTGGTAAACGTTATTACATAGGCTTATGTAATTGATCAATTATCCGCTACATCTTCTGAAAGTAACACCAATAGTAGTCTATCAAGGCAAGTAATAACAGAAGTGAACACTTGTGAACACCACCATACATGCCTAATCTTTTAAACGATTTTAACATTGTATTTGCATGCATGCGCTCTGGTTCCAATTGATTTGACCCGTGCGTAAATGCGCACCAATATTATGTAAACTATCCATCCACAAAATATTCATCAGCTTAGATGTAATATTAACCACTTACAGTCTTGGACCCCTTTCGCTCATTGGAACGGACTTCTCCGTGATGTTGTTACATGTAATGGTGTTGAAGGAACACCGGCAGATCCCCGGACACACAAAGCTGGAAGTGCACCGGCAGCCAAAGCCAAAGAAGAGCAAAACAGACGGGAAGAGCAGGAACAACAGCGATATCCACATCGTTGAATTATCCTACTTTTCAAATTGAAGCAATAAGATTGCGGGGAATCCCAAGGACAACATAGGAGCAGCAAAGATGATGATGACAACCATTTACGTCCTTCTGTTGGAACAGACTCGGTGGATTGATGCAGCGTAAGTTTGAATGGAGGAAGAAACAGACATTGCTCTATCCACCAAAGGGATAGCCTGTGCAATAAATTCCAAATACTGGCACGAGCGCATTGTGCAGAAGCGAGCGCACCAGGTGCTCTCCAGTCCCGCCTACCCCTTAATCTCCCTGCGTCACGTGCCAACTGTCAGTATTATAACGATCGCAAGGGTCCAGGGATGTCATGGTTCTTTCTGGCCTTTCTGGCATTAACCTACAGTGTCTACTCATAGTCTACCTCTCAAACATGACTTCATTACTTGACTATGTATCTATTCTGAGACAAGATACAGTGTAACTTAAATCAAAGTATTAAATATCAACATATTAAACTTTTATAAAATATCACATTTCTGAATGTTTTTATATGGATGTCACAAGCCTTTAGATCAAGCCCTGTCTAAGCCTAGTGGAAATGCACCATAATAGAATGGTTTCCAACAGCTTGTTTTGCATTATTGCACAAGAGACAAGAGATAGGACTAATTCAAGATAACAATATCTTCTAGCCTATGTGTCAGTTTGCAATTTGTGTTTGGCAGAACAGAAGGCCAGAGAGACCTTGAAAGAGGATCAAATGGGGAATGAAATGGAGTGGAATCTTGGAAATTCATGGTTTTTATTGATGTTCTTTTAAGTTCCACCCACCCCACCCCTCCTATTGCCATATAACCTGTATCAAAGGATGGAACCTTTTTGGGTACCATATATTGTCATTGTTTGCACTAATTGCATTGTTTGTCTACATAACCTGGTTCAAGCATTCATGACATTACCCTGAAGAAGGCACAGTGATGGCGAAACGTTGGTGTTTTACACAATAAATTACTGGGTGTGTACAGTGCATTCGGAAAGTATTGAAACCCCTTCCCTTTTCCCACATTTTGTTACGTTACAGCTGTCACGGTTTCGGCCGAGACTGCTCCTCCTCCTGGTTCGGGCAGGCTTCGGCGGTCGTCGTCCCCGGAGTACTAGCTGCCACCGATCTATGTTTCATGTTCGTTTGGTTTTGTCTGGATGTTGTACACCTGTGTCTTGTTAGTCCTCGTTAGTGTCCTATTTAGTTCTCGTTGTGTGTGCTTGTCGTTGTGTGTGATTGCGCTTCTGTTTCGTGTTTGGAGCTACATTTTCCCTCCAGTGTTTTGGAGAGGGTTGTTTTGCACATGTTTGTGCGTCATTTGTTTTGTCGCCTGTGTGCGTCTTGTATTTTGCCTTCGGGCTTATGGTGCTTTTGTTGTATATATAATATATATATATTGCACTAAAACGTTTGGACTGAGCCTCTGCGTCCTGCGCATGATTCCTACACCACACCCACCTTCAGCACGCCTTGACAGAATCACACACCTTATAATGGAATCAGCAGGATCGGCAGTGACGCCTGTGTCGCTCGAGGAGCATCTCCGTGGGAAAGAGGACCAGATCCGACAACTGGAGACCGCTCTACAGGTGGTAATCAACATCATGCACCGATGGGAGGCCAGCAGGGTACCCATACCTCCACCTACCCTGTCCATCCCATCGGTCGGTCCACCAGTCCCAGGTTCGGAACCCAGGGGGATTCGGCTCTCGCTCCCGAGGGCGTATGACGGAACAGCTGCCGGGTGTCAGGGGTTCCTCCTGCAGGTGGAGCTCTACCTGGCCACTGTACACCCGGTGCCCTCGGGATACGAGAGCGTTTCCGCCCTCATCTCCTGTCTCACGGGCAAGGCGTTGGAGTGGGCTAACGCCGAGTGGAGGAGGATGGACACCAACACCATCACCTACACCGAGTTCTCCCGCCGCTTCAAGGCCGTGTTCGACCATCCACCTGAGGGCAAAGCGGCGGGGGAGCGGCTAGTCCATTTGAGACAGGGGAGGAGGAGCGCTCAGGTGTTCGCTCTAGAGTACCGGACTCTAGCGGCGGATGCAGGGTGGAATGAACGGGCTCTCATCGACCATTTTCGATGTAGCCTACGAGAGGACATTCAACGTGAGTTGGCCTGCAGGGATACCCATCTTACCTTCGACCAGTTGGTCGATATGTCCATCCGTCTGGACACCCTGCTGGCCACCCGTGGACGTCCCGAGGGGAGTCCGTCCATTCCGCCCTCCGGCACCTCCGAGCCGAGCCCTATGGAGCTCGGGGGTGCCGGCGCTAGAGAACGGAGTAGGAAGAGCCCGAGGGGGCCTGTCTCCTGCACCAAGTGCGGTCGTGGAGGGCACACTACGGCCAGGTGCTGGGGAGGGTTCTCCGGGAGTAACGGCAACAGGCCACGCACTGGGGGGGCCTCCCAGGTGAGTAGACGTCCCACTTACCCAGAGCTTTCTGTTGCACACTTTTGTATACCTGTTTGTTTTCCACAGGTTGCACCTCATTCCCAGCATAAGGCGCTAGTAGATTCAGGCGCAGCTGGGAATTTTGTTGATCGTAAGTTTTGTTTTGAGTTAGGGATCCCTCTCCTACCTGTTGACAAATCTTTTCCCGTTCATGCCTTAGACAGCCGCCCGTTGGGGTCGGGGTTGATCAGGGAGATCACAGCGCCACTTCGGATGTGTGCGCAGGGGGGTCATGAGGAAACTATACAGTTGTATCTGATCGACTCTCCTGCGTACCCAGTGGTGCTGGGGATTCCCTGGTTAAGCACCCATAACCCTGCTATTTCGTGGCAACAGAGGGCTCTCGATGGGTGGTCTGCTCAGTGCGAGGGGCGATGTCTGGGTGTTTCCGTGGGGGCGACTTCGGTGGAAAGTCCAAACCAAGTGCCCGCACTGCACATTCCGCCTGAATATGGGGATTTAGCACTCGTGTTTAGCAAGACTAGGGCGACGCAGTTACCTCCTCATAGACAGGGGGATTGTGCAATTGATCTCCAGGCAGGAGCAGCGCTCCCACGGAGCCATGTGTATCCTTTGTCTCAAGAGGAGAGAAAAGCTATGGAGACTTATATAGCCGAATCTTTGAGACAAGGATACATTCGGCCCTCCACTTCTCCCGCCTCCTCGAGCTTCTTTTTTGTGAAAAAGAAAGATGGAGGGTTGCGCCCGTGCATTGATTACCGTGGTCTCAATCAGATTACTGTGAAATACAGTTATCCACTCCCTCTGATTGCGACCATGACGGAGTCATTGCATGGAGCGCGGTTTTTCACAAAACTGGATCTCAGGAGCGCGTATAACTTGGTGCGCATTAGGGAGGGTGATGAATGGAAGACAGCATTTAGTACCACGTCAGGTCATTTCGAATATCTCGTCATGCCATATGGGTTGATGAATGCTCCTTCAGTCTTCCAATCCTTCGTAGATAACATTTTCCGGGATATGCAGGGACAAGGGGTGGTCGTGTACATTGATGACATTCTGGTGTACTCGTCTACCCGAGCCGAGCATATAACCCTGGTGCGTCGTGTATTGAGGAGGCTGTTGGAGCACGACCTATATGTCAAGGCAGAGAAATGTCTGTTTTTCCAGGAGTCGGTCTCCTTTTTGGGTTATCGGTTGTCCGCGTCAGGGGTGAGAATGGAGGTGGATCGTGTGTCCGCTGTGCGTAATTGGCAAACCCCAACTACTGTAAAAGAGGTGCAGCAGTTTTTGGGCTTTGCGAATTACTACCGGAGGTTTATCCGGGGTTTTGGACAGGTGGCAGCTCCCATCACGTCCCTTCTGAAGGGGGGTCCGGTGCGCCTGCAGTGGTCAGCCGATGCGGACAGGGCCTTTAGGAGACTGAAGGACCTGTTTACGTCGGCTCCGGTGCTAGCGCATCCAGATCCCGCATTACCCTTTCAGGTCGAGGTAGACGCGTCTGAGGCTGGTATAGGGGCCGTTCTCTCTCAACGGTCCGGCACGCCACCTAAACTCCGCCCCTGTGCTTTTTACTCTAAGAAGCTCAGCCCGGCGGAGCGTAACTATGACGTTGGGGACAGGGAGCTGTTAGCTGTAGTTCAAGCCCTTAAGGTGTGGAGGCATTGGCTTGAGGGGGCTCAACACCCTTTCCTCATTTTGACTGACCATCGGAACCTGGAGTACATCCGGGCAGCGAGGAGACTGAACCCTTGCCAGGCTCGATGGAGTATGTTTCTCACCAGGTTCGTATTTAAAATCACGTACATCCCTGGGTCCCAGAATGGTAGGGCAGATGCGCTGTCCCGGCGGTATGACACGGAGGAGAGGTCCGTTGAGCCCACTCCCATACTACCGGAGTCTTGCCTTGTGGCACCGGTGGTGTGGGAGGTCGATGCCGAAATCGAGCGAGCGTTGCGTACCGACCCCAGCCCTCCACAGTGTCCTGAGGGTCGGAAGTACGTTCCGCGCGAGATTCGGGATCGACTCATTTACTGGGCTCACACGTCACCCTCCTCTGGACATCCGGGTATCGGCCGGACGGTGCATTGCCTTAGCACTAAATACTGGTGGCCCACCTTGGCTAGGGATGTGAGGGTTTATGTCTCCTCCTGCTTGGTGTGTGCCCAGTGTAAGGCGCCCCGACATCTGCCCAGGGGTAAGTTACAACCCCTGCCCGTTCCACAACGACCATGGTCCCACCTCTCGGTGGATTTTGTGACAGACCTTCCCCTCTCTCAGGGGAATACCACCATCCTGGTCGTTGTGGACCGGTTCTCTAAGGCCTGTCGTCTTCTCCCTATGTCGGGTCTTCCTACTGCCCTACAGACCGCTGAGGCCCTCTTTACCCATGTCTTCCGGCATTACGGGGTACCCGAGGATATAGTGTCTGATCGAGGTCCCCAGTTTACCTCTCGTGTTTGGAGAGCGTTCATGGAGCGTTTGGGGGTCTCGGTTAGCCTTACCTCAGGGTACCACCCGGAGAGTAACGGGCAGGTAGAACGTGTCAACCAGGATGTGGGTAGGTTTC